GGACCAGGGGTTGGTGAGAGCCAGGGTTGCTGCCCAGCAGAGGAGAGCAGCTGGCAGGGTGGGGAGCACATCTGGCAGGTGCTGCTGCCTGAGAGCTGAACATCAGCCTGAGGTCCCAGAGCACAGGCTGGTGGAAAGGTTTGGAGCTTGCTCACCTTGGGGAAGAGGAGGCAGAGGTTTCTCATGCTGCTTACTGGGTACATGTCTGTGCTGGGGTGCATGGGCTGGCCCCCAGCTACCTCTCACCATGATACAAATGGGTCAGATGGTGAGCAGAGATGCACAAGGCAGAGTGTCTGTAGGGTGCAGAGACATCCCATGCACTTGCTGTCGGGTGGAGATCATCCATCCGTGCCAGCCAGGTGGTTTGAGGTCCTGGCTCTGGACCACATGGGACATACAGCATCAGTGTGATAAGCTTGGGCTTGGGTCAGCCTGAGTGCTCCGAGGCAGGAGGCTGGACACTGATGAAGGATCTGATAGGAAGGCAGGCTGGCTTTTTGCACCTCCTCGGCTGCCTGCCAGGGAAGGTGTGGATCCGGCTCATCTGGCTGGTGTTGAGATGCCTGACTGCATCTGCGAGGGAGGCTTCCAGAGAATCCCGCCTGCCCAGGTTTCCATGGAGAGCATCTCCTTGTAGAGGAGGGAGCCGTCTGGCAGACAGTACGGCTGTGGAAATACCGATAGAGCATTTGTTTTCCAAAGCACATGAATAACATCCCTAACAGCTAGCAGCCTCACTTCCTCCGCTCACCCCACCAGCGGTCTGGCATAGCAACCTGGGATGCCTGCGGTGTCTTTATCCTCCCGGCTCCTCGCTGTGTGCTCGTCTGAGCATCCCCAGTTTGGCCATATATGCCCAGCCCGGCCCAGTTTCCCTTCCAGTTGGCAGGCACGGCTCCTCCTGGTGCGGGGCTGCAGGGAGGCAGCAGCCATCTTTGCTGGGGAACGCATTTAGCTTTGCTGCTGGAGGGAAGAACGGGAGTGCTGTAGGCGGCAAAACTGGGGAAGTTTTGCTCCCACCTCCCATAGGATGCGAGGGAAATCACTTCCCTGAACAAAATGTCCTTTCTCAGATCTCCCAGTTATTTTGCATGCTTTGAAAGACCAAGGGGAAGCTTAAGAGCTGTTAAGGCAGCAGGCAGCGATGCAAGGTGCATGCAGCAGCCCCTGGTGAAGGGGGCTGAGCTCGGGCTTTCATGGCAGTCTGTCAATATTAAATTAAGGCTAAATTCCCATCCTAAATGTTATGTTAACATGAAGTTACAGCAGAAAGCACAGAGCACAGAAAAGCAATATGAGGGTATAAGATGTGTTACGGGGGTATTGTAATCATCCCAAATGTGGCATTTGAAACCCAGGGAGTTCCAGATTTAGGGTTTGCGTTATTTTTTGGGTTTGTAATTGAAAAACAATTCAAGCATGGGAAGGCTTAGAAGCATGTTGCTGAGATTGTTTGGGCTCCTTTATTCTGTGCTGCAGGGGCAGATGGAGGGAAAAAGTCTTTAAAAAATGATAGAACCAAATGTGGAATTACAAATGTTAAAATGTTAAAATACCGTGATCTGGATTTGAGTGTTAAGGCATCGTGGCTCCCCAGGGTAACATCAGGGCTACTGGGTCTTAACTGTGCATCTCTGTATCTGGACATATTTGGCTATTGCTAATGTAACTCACCTCTGTGCCTGATTCTTTCTAAACTCATAATTGGAGACAGTTGCAAGTCCTGTAGCATCATTTTATTTAAGTTAAGGATAGGTACTTGGAACTTTAATTCTATCTTAGCTTATGGTTTTTATCTTCAGATTTCCATAGTTTTTAAAAGCTATTAAAAAAAACATGGATAAGGATTAAACAAAAACCCGAAAGAATATCATCATAACATAATTATGAGGAGCTATGGCAAGAAGCTGATTTTTGGCTGTGTTGTGTAAAAAAAAAAAAAAAGAGATTCCTCATTGTGCCAGGACAGGGTGGTTATGCCTGGTGTGCAGCCTCCCCAAGGGCACAAAGTGGATGGTGAATTCAGCCCTAATTTTGCAGTGACTGGTGTGCGCAGCCCAGCTGAGCAGCTGCAGGCTGCGGAGTGGCACTGCCTGGTGCTGTGAAATCGCTTGGCTAGAGGAGTTGGTGGAGCAGCAATGCCCATGGCAGCGTGCGGCCGCAGCCCCGGCCGCAGCCCCAAGGAAGCTCTTGAGTTGGGAAGTCAGCTGGCAAGCCACTGCTGGCAGGGCTGTGGTGTTCCTGCAGAGAGAAAACGATGACGGGTCAGTTGAAATGGCTCTGCAGGGAGTTGTGGGCACTATCGTAAAGACTGGAACCTGCCTGTAGCTTCCAGTCATACAAATTAGATATGACAGTCATTAATAATTTGGCTTTATTCTAACACGTGGTACCCAAAGGAACCTGAGCAGAAGATTTGCACTGGACGATTTGCCTCCCAGCAGTGTCAGGCAGAGCGGTGGGTCTGAAGCACCTTTGAGATCCCACTTGAGAATATGCAGCTTTGGGGGGTCCTGGGCCATCATTGCGCCCCTGGAATGTTGCTGTTAGGCAAAGGTCAGTTCTCGGCTGAAGGAGGAACATTGGTGCAAGGAATATTAGATGGATTATGGCTTTTTTCCAGAGATGGAGGCAGAGCAGGCCAGCCAAACAGTGGTGGGGCAGAGCAGAGCTTGGGCTGTCTGGGTGCCTCGGCTGTATTTCTGTCCCTGGATAAATGGTTTTTGTTTCTTAGGCTTTGGCAGCCATTTGGGGGATAATGCAGCAGTGTCGTGCTCACGCTGGGTGTGTTTCTGTCACTGCCTGGAGGGCAGGAAGAGGTGGAGGGGAATGATGTGCAGAGGTGATGGGGGTCAGGGGGAGAGCAGGATCAGCCCCAGTCATGATAGCTCAGCCTTCAGGTCGTCACTGTGCTGTGGATGGGGCAGTAGGTGCAACTGCTTCTCCCCATCATCTGTACCACCCTCCTTGTCTGGCATTGCCTGTGGTCCCTTCACGGGCTCTGGAAAGGTGCCTGCATGCTCAGCCCTGCGAGGCCTCGCTGCTTGGGCGGGCTGGATGCAGTAACATGATTTCCTGGGATAAGTGTTTCTTGTTATGCCTGTCATACCCTGATTTCTTCGCCTGATGTGTTCCCTGGGCATATCAGGAGGGCACGCACAGCATGGGCCCATTTCCTTAATGACCAGCAATGAATTGCCTGCACATGTGCAGTGCAGATTTGAGATACCCTCTGTGTTTTGTTTTTTTTTTTCTTCCTGCGGATTTTCCTTATTGGACAAGGTGTTCTCCATTTGTGAAGTCCCTGCCCAGCTGAGCCTCCACCAGAGCCGTGTTCTCCCATCTGCATACAGCCCTTATTTTGTGCTCCAATAATTTCAAGGCAATTCTGCTCCCCTCTGAGCTTGAGAGAGATTTACTGGGTGGGCATGTAAGGATGCTCTGGGGCAAAATGGAGGTGCCCCGCCACTGCTGCAATCTCTCCCAGGGTAAGGACATGTGGCTGAAACAGGCCGAGCATCCTCTGACCTGCCACCAAGCAGTGCCTTTTAATGGGCACCGGGCTGCAAAGCCTCCTGCCAAGGTGTGGAGCTGACCTCGCCCAGCTGGGGTGAGGGCGAGCCCCGGGCAAGCGCAGCCTCTATAGCTCCCCTTGCCCAGGTCCCCTGGGAGCAGCGGTGCTGGTGGGGGGAGGCGGGGGGGGCCCTTACATAAGCCCTGAACGTGACAGGCGGTGCGGGGAGGTGAAGGGCAGAGCGCTGAAAATCCACACAGCCTCCAGCAAGGGCTCCCTGGCGCAGGAGCTCTGCTCACTGACATACATCTCCAGGTCCCCATCTGCAGCCGCTGCCTGCCCTGCCTGCCTGCAGCTCCTTCTCTTCCCCCCAGAGCCCATGGGGGGCTGCCACATCTGCTCCCTCCGCTGCCGACAGCCCAATGTAGGGACATGGGCAGAGCTCTGCCTCCCTGGGGCTTGCTCGGGTGGCTGGGGGGTTACGGTGCTGGCACAGGGGGACGCTGCCCAGAAGCACTCTGGCTGTTCCCATCTTGCCCACCCAGCACCCGGATTGTGCCTGGGGCCTCGCTACTTTGGCCAGTGGCACTTGGAGGGAGAAAGCTGGCTGGAGAGCTTGTAGCAAGATGAGTGTCTACACAGGACACGTGGGTCTAATTTGCTGGTGTGTGAGGTGGGTGGTGGCACCTGGACAGGGGAGCACTGCTGGGATGGAGCTGAGGTGAGGAGCACACACTACGTGGCATGGGAGTGCAGGCGGCGCCAGCTCAGCCGGGAGGGAGAGATGCCAACGGGCTCTTGTGCAGGGGCTGTGCTGGGCAGCGGTGGTGCCCAACAGGTTCCTCGTGGGGAGGGACAGTGCCAGGGAAGTGGCACTGTCCTGCTTATCTTGGCACCCATAATCTCCTGCAGCATGAGGCAAGGGCACCGCAATGCCATGCAGGGCAGCTGTGGGGCTCACCTGGACAGGACAGGGGCAGGGCTGGCCTCTGAGTGCTGGGGACGGGTTCTGCAGGCATGAACAGATGCAGTCTGCATGTCTTCACGTTCTCGACTTTGTGCTGCCTGTGCTTGCCTGCTCCCAGAGCCACCTGCCTGGGTGGTGGCAGAGCCAATGAGCACCCATGGGTGGGAGGGATCCTGGCTTCTTCTGCGCCACAGCTCTTTGATTCTTCCCAGAGCAAGTCTGCTGTTAATTCCCTCCATCTCTCCACAGTATCAGCATTCCCCTCCGGGCCAGGCCGTTGGCAGGCGGGCAGCAGCGGGCAGCTGGCAGGCTGTGAGGAGCGGTGGCACATCTCCCTGCGTCCGTGTGTCCGACTCACCCAGCCGAAGGTGTGGCTGGGCTGCGCGCTCCTGACTCACGGCTCTCCTGCTCTGTCTGTTCCTGGTGGGCAAATCGGAGGCTTGGCGTGATGAGGATGCTCTGAGCCCTCGCCCCAGGAGCTTCAGGCCTGGATGTTGGTGCTGTTCCTCCCGGACGATGTGGCTGATACTCTGGAGAAGCCCCCTCTTGCCCCCTATTCTCCAAGTGCCTGAGCTGGTGGCCGGCTGGGACCTGCGTCTCGCCCTCTGGGTCCTGAGCTTCGCCTCAGCGGTTGTGCAGATGGAGGGCCAGGTCTACTCACCGACAGTCAACACGCACTATGGGAAGTTACGGGGGGTGCGCGTGCCACTGCCCAGCGAGATCCTGGGGCCCGTGGACCAGTACCTGGGGGTGCCTTACGCTGCCCCCCCCATTGGGGAAAAGAGGTTCATGCCCCCTGAGCCGCCGCCATCCTGGTCAGGCATCAGGAATGCTACCCACTTCTCGCCGGTCTGCCCCCAGAACATCCACAACGCTGTTCCTGAGATCATGCTGCCCATCTGGTTTACCTCCAATTTGGATATTGTAGCCACGTACATCCAGGACCCCAATGAGGACTGTCTGTACCTCAACATCTACATCCCCACAGAGGATGGTGAGTCCCCGCTGGGGTGCCTGCAGGAGGGTGGGGGGGGCCACTCCGCCCCTCCCCAGCAGTGGTTGGTCTCACCTGGGTGTTGTGTTTGAAGCATGTGGTTGTGGACCCTGCAGCATGCTGTCTGTTTGTGGAAAGCTTTCTCTGGCCACGCAGCTCACCCTCTTGCCCTTAGCTGCCATCTCTGTCTCGCGTGCTCCTGCTCCTCCACGCCTCCCGGTCCTCCCCCTCCACCTCCATGGCATTGTCATGGGTTCCTCTCTTGTGTTGCTAAATCTGAATCCGACTCTCTGACCGTAGATCCACAGAGCGACAAGCTGGTTTGTGCTCCCCAGGTGCCGAGTGGCAGGTTCTGTCTTGAGTTGGTTCGGGTTCGTCCTTCCTCCCTCCTTCCCACCCTCCCCAGGTCCATGCGCTAGTTGTGGGCTTGGGCTGCGGCTGGGAGGAACACTCTCTGCCTCTCCCTGGGGAGATGCTCTGGCAAGGAAGGGACCATGGAGCCCTTTTCTGGGCCCTGGTATGGACGGGAGGTTGGGGGCACCGGCAGGCGCATCGCTTGGCTGCTCCCCTGTCCGCCGGCAGGACAGCGGCAGAGCAATGAACCTGGGGTGCTGGGGACCCACGGGGTATGGTCCTGTTGGGGTGAGGCTGAGCAGTGCTGGGTGCCTCCTTGTCTAACCTTTTCCTTTGTAGGGGATCCCACCTGAACTGTAAGTAGAGAGCAAGAGGAGGCAGTGCCTGCCCGCACACCTGCCCCAGCCTCACTGCAACGGGAGCCCATGGGGATTTTCAGAGGGCTGGAAGGGACCCGCAGCGGGTCTGCTGCGCATGGCGGAGCAGCCTGGCGGGATGGTGGCTCCTCCCAGGCCGGCTGGCTCCACTCCTCTGTCCATGGGACCCCTAGCCATGGGATGCATCGTGCCTTCCTTCCTGCCCAGCACGACTGGCCCAGAGTTTTCCTCCCACGGCGACGCTCCCTCCCCACCTCCCGCGGTCCCGGGGGTGGTGGGAGGGTGGCAGCGTGGTTGTGATTGCATGCCCACTCCCGCCAGTGGAGCCTCCTGTTATTTTGTAGTCTTTTATTCATTTTACAGTAAAACGGATTTCCAAGGAATGCACCCGAAAGCCCAACAAGAAAATATGTAGGAAAGGAGGTATGTAGCAAGCCGACCGGCAGAGAGGCACAGAGAGGAAAGAGAGAGAGAGAGGGTGCCTGGCTGGCCCCTGGCCCGCGGCATGCTCCTCCGGCACCTCTCTGTGCCGCCACCCAGACCACGGGCCCTCCAAGCAGCCCACCCTGCTGACCCCACTTCTCGCTTAGAGGATGCTCCAGCCACCTCCGCTCCCCAGCTGGCGGAGCCCGGACTGGTGCCGGCTGGGAGCGCAGGTCTGGGGGTCAGGTCAGAGAAGGATGCTCACATTGCTCCAGGCCTTTCAGAACAGCTTCTCCTGGACTGAGCCCACGCTCCTGTCTTCATCCCCCTGGCACCAGCAGTCTCCCAGCCCCTGGGTATGAGGGGGGAGCCTCTGATGGCGGGTAGCACTTAAATGCACCCATCCCTTAGGGGTGCATCCCCCGTTGGGGGTGTACAGACCCACCCAGGGAAGCACCTGTGTGACTGGGGACTGCAGCCCATCCTGGGCTGAGTTCTTTCCCCATTGCATCCAAAGCTCCTCAGTTAAAAGCATAAAACCTCTCCTGGCTGTGTAAATGCTGCCATGTTCTGCCCCAGCCCGTGGTCCTGCCAAGGCTGCTCCTTGCTGCTCACACCCCCATGCCTCTGCCGGCCCTGCCAGTGAGATCTGCTTTCCACCCCTTGGCCCAGCACCCTCCCTGAGCCCCAGCCACCCTGCAGGTGGCTGAGCACCTCTAGTTCAGACACATCTCCACTTCGCCTTGCCTCCATCCCCAGGTCTGCGTGGGGCTCATCCTGCTGCACTTTGGAGCAAGAGGGGCAGCCCCTTGTCCCAAAGTCATCCTGTGTTCCCAGCCAGCCCCAGCACCATGGGCTGGGGAGTGGAGATGTACAAATGGGAGCCCCTTGTTGGACATGATACTTCGCCCATCCTGCTACACAGCCCCCTTGCAGGCAGGGAGAGCCCGGGCTGCTCCGTGCATCCCAAAGTTGGAGGTGTGGGTGGGTGGGCAACCAAGCTCTTCTGAAAGGCTCAGTGCAGGGAGGGGGTGTCTGGCAGACAGGGGCTGCCATCCTGGACATCCTGCGGTAGCGGGGTCCCTGCATCCCAGCCTCCACCTCCCTGTGCCCCTGGGGTTGGCAAGGCTGGCGCAGCTGGGCTTGGAGGTTTGGGGACTGCTTTCCTTCCAGCCATTTCCCCCAGTTCTGTTGTTGGGTTTCTTTGCTTTGCTTTTCCTGTTGTTGTCCTGGCTATTCACACGCCATCTCTCTGAGTTCCAAGGCTGCCCCTGAAAGGGCTGGTGCATTAGGGAGTCTCTGCACGCTGCCTCCGGAGCCGGCTGTGCCAGCGATCTCCAGCCACTTCAAAGCGCTTCCTCTCCCGGCCCTCCCACCGGCTGGCAGGGCTGGTGGACCCCCGCTGCCCCCAACCCTATGGCTGGGGCCAGGGAATCGAGGCCTGGGTTACATCTGGAGAAGGGGGACAACGTAAGGCATGGTGAAACACCTTGAGCACACCCATCTCCTGGTTTTCTCTCCCTGCTGGTTCTGCTCACGGGCAGGCTTTCTTTGCAACCCATCTGTGGTTGCCTCTGGTCTGCCCCCGCCAGGCTCTGCTGACTCATGGACCAGCGGATCCCCAGTGCCTGCCATTTGGGCATCCAGGCGTGACATGCTGGGGATTAAAGCACCCAGACACTAGTGCTGCCCTTCAGCTCCATCCACAGCTCTGGTGGCTGTTGGCTCAAATTAATTGAGTCACTTGTGATGAGACATGGATGCTTCCCGCCCCTCGTCATGTACCCTGGGTTAGTAATGTTTGGGGTGAGGATAATGCACCTGCAGTGCTGATTTCCTTAGGCTGTGTGTCATCTGAACATCGGCTCGTTCTGGACTATTCTTGATTATTGTTTCTAAAGCCACATATGAGCACTGAATAAGCTCTCCTCTCACAAAGCGGGCAACTGTGCAGTACTGTGGCGATTCAGAATGCCTCAGTTCCCACCTTACTGGAATTTTCATTATTTCTGCCACCCCTAACTTCAGTGTATTTCATAGCAGCCAAAGGACTGAGAATTTAGCAGAATTTATCCCTGGGACAGAAAAACATCCCTGTTTCCCTGCCCAGTTGCCCTCAATAGTTTCCTATATGGAAATTTCCAACATGCCCATTTCTTCCACACACATTGGTCCCTTCTCTGGGAGCAAGGTAGGGCAGCGGTGCTTTGAGAATAATTCACCATGCACAGTGCTGGGGGGCTGACAGTGCTGAGGCTCAGCTGCCCACCTGAAGAGCATGTACACACACCCCCAGTACAGTACCTATGTGCAAAACACAGCTCTGCTTCGTGCTACCAACACTTCTGGCCTCTGCATGTTGTGGTGGGTGCTGGGATGCCTTCCCCTTCCCTTCACCACCAGCCTGGGCAGGCCTTGCTACCGGGCATGAGGAGATGGATGCCATTTTTGGAGAGGAAAAGTGTGGCTGCCCTGCACGTAGCAACCCTCCCTGATTTTTACTGGCAACTGCCCTCATCTCTCTGTCTGGGGCTGTGCAGAGTCTGCAGTGCTGCAGAGACAAATGTGCTGGTCCAGCATCTTGCTCTGCTTCGTGAGAGGGGCTCCCAGCAACACCTGGGCTTGGGATGTGTTTTGGCTGCTCTTCGGGAAAAGCATTGTGGCTTCTCCATTGCCTTCCAAGAAGCAAAGTTGTCCGAGTACCAGCTGAGGCTTTCCTATGGCTGTGTGACTTCTGCAGTACTCCCTGGCTGGAAGGCTTCTCACCAGTCTCCTGTGGAGCCTGCTACTTTGCAGGGCTGGCAGGGAGCAGACCACCCCCCTGGCACTCCATTTCTGCTCCAGGGAGCGATTTGCAAAGGTGAGGGTGGGTGTTTGTGCTGGTGGAGGCAGCAGAGCGTGAGAAGATGTGGTGCTTTTATGGAGTCCACTCAAGGATGGAGATAACTTCTCTGCATCACCCAGGGACAGGGAGGGCAGGGCAGCACCAAGGTTCGCTGCAGTCCTGGAGCAAGGGCTGATGGTTGGAGGGGCCACCTGACACAGGTCCCAGGGGAGCTGCCCCTGCCCTTGGGGCTGTGCAGCAGCAGGTTCAATGGCCATCATCAGTCTCAGTCCCATTCCTTCTTGCTCCAGGAGAAGTACCTGAGCCGGTGTGGCCACCAGCATGTGTCCCTCTGCGTGCATGTGGCCATCAGACATGGTGGCAGTGCTGCTGCGGGCTCCTGCTCCCTGCAGCATTGTGGCTGCTGAGTGGAAGCAGGTGCCCTGGGGAGCTTGCACTGAGGAGGGGGTGCTGGGGCTACCCACAACCACCCTGAGCAGGCATTTGGCTCTGGAAAGGTGTCAGCTCAGGCTCCTGCTCTTCACTTATTTGCACCATGCTGAGCACAAAGGGCCCAAGGACCGAGGTGCCTCGCCCTCCTTTATCTCTGTTTGCACTGGTGTCAGTGCTGTTGGCATGGTGTACTTAAGATAGCATAAATCCGGAGTGGATGCCCCTGTTTCAGGGAAAGTGATTCTATTTTTTACTGAACTTGAGCTTAAATCTTCCTAGAGCCTTCAGATAAGAGCATATGCATCCTTCCTATCGGCCTGAACGATGTCACTTTGCAGTCAGCTTAAAGTGAAGCAGCACAACAGGCATTCACACTGGGTTGGTAGAGGGAGTTTTTGGTGGGTAAGGAGAGCAAGAGCCTTGAGTCCTTTGGGTTTTTCCATCTGTGAATCCACAAGCTTAAACCCATCCCCGTGACAGTAGGTGCTGCGGCCTCTGTGCGGTGGTCTTTGCCAGTGTGGAGGAAGATCTCTGGGACGGGTGTCCTTGAACATAGCAATAACTGGTGGAGGGAGGTAATGGAGCAACGTGCAAGAGATGGGTAAGGGAAGTGAAGCTGTGGGGGTGAACAACGTAGCAAGAGGCAAAAAGCCCGCTTGGTTGCAGCAGCCTGTGTTAGCCATAACCCCAGCCACCCTGGCACCTTTCTGCTGCTGGGGAAGGCTCATGCTTTGCATCTGCCACGCACACATGCCACCGCTGTTCCCCTTCCCCCTGGCCTGCATTACTGCACTTCTGCTTCGCTTAGCTTCCCAGCGCTGCTTTCTACTGTCCCTTCTGCGGTGCGTGAAGCTCAGATTGCTTTAGGCTTGTCCCAGCCATCCCTAAGCTCTGGGGCGGCAGTCTCCAGCCAGATCCGTCCCTGCTCAGCCAGAACAGTTGCTCAGATCACAGGAATATTGTCCAATGCCCTCTGTTACAGCCTGACAGCTCCTCATAGCTGGTTCCTCCATCCCTGTCTGCATGGAGACCTTTGTCCCCTGAAGGAGACCAGGCTGGAGGGCTGCAGCCTGGCCAGTCCCAGGCCTTTAACAGCACCAGCACCCTCAGCAGTGGAAAGGGATCTCCAGCTGCCTGTGATCAGCTTCCCAGCTCTGAAGCACAGTGTGGATGAAGGCTCACTTGCCTGTGGTCTTCATTGGAGAAAAATCCCTATCCCTGAGCAGTACCAAGGAGGTTGGCGCATAGCACTGGTTAGCAAATATTGCATGAGTACTTCATCATTTAAGTGCTTTCTGGGCTTGCAGCTCTTCCTAATGAAGATGCAGTAGGTCAAGCCTGCAGCCTCTTGGGAAGAGGCTGGGCAGCTGCACGTACCCAGCCAAGTGTGCAGCTGGTGGGTGGGCTGGGGAGGAGCACATGGGAAGGACGCAGCAGAAGGGGGGGATGCTGGGGCTGGGGTGCTGGGGTGAGAGGTATCAGGGCTAGAGGTGGCATTGGGTGAAAACGGGAGAGTGATGTGAGGAGCTCAGAGGACGGCTGGGTTGCAAAGCAGGAGGTGAGGAGGCAGGGCTGGGACATGGAGCAGGTAAGTCGGGAGGTGAACTCTGAGTTGGAGAAAATCAGGATGGCTCTGGAGACAGCTGATCATCCCTGCCGCAGGCAGGAGCAGCTCTACCTCACCTCTTCCTGGCAGTGTGTCTCACTTGGTCTTAAACACCTCCCTAGGACACCTATTCCAGTGCTTTCCTGCCCTTTCTACCAGGCAGGTTTTCTTCTTGTCCAGCTTCAACCTGCCTCATGTAGCTCCGGGGCTGCCTGTGCTCTGTTTAGCAGAGAGGGAGTTGCTCTTCCACCTCACCACCTCATAGTGGCCTTTCATGTGTCTGGATGCTGCTGTAGCTCCCATCTCTCCTCTCCTCCCAGGATTTGCGTGACCCAGCCTCCTGAAAACTTTTCTTGCCTGCTGGATTTTTCTAGACTTCTGGTCGTTGCTCCTCCAGACTTTCTCCAGCAGGTCATGGCTGCTTAAAGCATTACACAAGCCTCTTGCCCTGGTGGAGCTGCCCCGCAGCTGTTTCAGACTTCTCACTCCCCCATCACAAATTCCTTTTAAATTCAAATCTTGTCCCCCCTCCATGCTGCTGTGTCTGTTATCCACCACCTGTGTCACCTGCAGGATTCCGCTCCCAGAGTGGCAGTAAGGACGACTCCCTGATTTCATCTTCCCAGCCAGTTGCATGCTCAACTTCTTGTAGCTTCATCCAGCTGTGGGGCTGCCCCTCACTTGCAGGAACCTTGCTGGAGGCTGTGCAAAACCCTTGCTGCGATGGGGACAGTTGGTGATAGCAGTGGGGCCCTGGGAGCAGCTGGGTGCCCGGCGGGACCTTGGAGCCCTGCACATCTGGGGGAGGTTGCTGAGCAGTGTGGGCACAGCGTGGGCAGTCCTGCTCAGGGGAAACCCTGCTGTCACCCCGAGGTCATCATCACCTGGGGAACTTTTTTGGTGCAGGGATTAGGGAGCAGGGGCCCGCACGTGCTGGTCTGCAGCTCATAGGGGATAGGGAGAGCACAGCCGCTTCCTGAAATTTGGGGTTGCAGGGTGCAGGGATGGTATCATTTGGCTTCATACCCACAAGGGCACACAGCCCTTTGCAGCAACAGGGCCTCGGTACAGGTCTGCACCACATCTGCTCCCTGCCAGCCCGCAGGCCACCTCTCCTGGCTCATGCTGGCTGCATGCAGCTCAGGAAGCTCCACGCTCAGTGCATGCCACCTGCAACAGCATCCCACAAGTGCTGGGCTGGGGCTGCTGGTCTGGTCCATGCCCTTGCACCACGGATTTGATAAGGGCCATGCAACAACTGGAAAGCATTCAGGATGTTACTGAAATCGTTATTTTTAGGGTTCTGCCTTGTTCAGGGCAAGCTGGTCGGTGCCTTTGCAATCCTCAGTGAACCATGCAACTAGTCTTTTAAGAAGGGAGTTGGTACAGGACCGAGCCAAGCAGCGCAGGGAAGCACCTTTCGTGATGGCTGCCTGCAGCATGCCATGGTGGCCTCATACCGCAGCATGGTGGTTTGCAGTATAACCATAGCAGGCACAACAAGGGGCCATGCACTGCAAGGGCGTGACGGGCAGGACCCCAGCTGGTGGTCAGTGGTCACCCAGGGCAACCCTTCATATGGGTTCTGCTGGTGGCGGGGGATGATTGTCCCCGTGACAGCAGAGCTGGGAGCAGGGCTCCTGCTTGCACCCAGGCAGTAGGAGAGGGAGCCTTGCCCTGGCACAGGGAGCTGAGGGTGTGTGATCAGGCGGGGTCCAGGCTGGGATGCAGGAGGATTGGCGACTGCTTTGAGAGGCTGATCTGCCACCAGTGCTGATGCTGCCCCAGGCCCGCTCTCCTCCTCCCTGCTGCCCCGGCACTCCCCAGGGAGGATCTGGGAAGGGGTCCAGGTGAAATCGCATCCTGGCGCAGCTCCCAGGGCAGTCCTGCCTGCACCCTGTGCCACCCTGGCTCTGGGAGAGGTGCAGTGTGAGTAGCCAGCAGTGCTGTGGGGCACAGGCCTGGCCCCACCATCTCTGCTATCATGCTATTTTTGAATTCTCTTTTGTTTTTTGTTTTTTTTTGTTTTGTTTTGTTTTTGTTTCCTTTTGTTTTCCTTTTTGTTCTGTCTCCTCGTGTTTGGTCCCTAGGAGCCAGCGCTAAGAAACAGGGCGAGGACTTAGCGGATAATGACGGGGATGAAGACGAAGGTATTTCTGTGCTCGAGGCTGCCACTGCATGACACGCAAAGCAACTCCGTTTGCCCGCCATCCGCTGCCATCCCCAGGGAGCCCCGTGTGTGTCTGTCTGCCGTGCTGGGCAGCTGCGCGGGGTGGGGGGCAGGCTGGCCGGCTGTGCAGGGCGCCCAGGCCCTTCCCCTCCTCCAGACGGGGTGGGGGAGAAACTCGTGGGGGTTTTTTGCTTTAGGAGAAGTTTGCTCCCACTCTGCTTGAGTGAGGGCAGGGAGGAAGCATGGTAGCTTGGGAGGAGAGGAGCCCTCGGGCACCTGGGCCCATTTCACCCCGAGCCCGGTCACATCCCACTTCCAGCCTCATCCCTCTGGAGTTGCTGACATGCAGCTGGGAGCCGGTGACCTCCCCGTCCACCCTTGCCTGGTCCTGCCGTGGACACCACCACAAGGTGGCTGTGCCAGCAGCTTGGCACCCTTGGTACCCCCAGGGTACCTGGCCGTGCCCAGGAGACCCAAGGTCTGCTCGGACATGGTTCTGTTAACTTCTCTCCTTCTCCACCCAACGTGAGTGAGGTCTTGCTTGCAACCAGAGCATCACTACCAGCCAAGGCAGAGCAAGTGCGCTTTCAAGCAGATGTCATTCTAGATGTACGCCAGGGCTAAGCAAGCTGCAGAATAAGCTCTTTTTAATAAAACGGGTTTGTTCATCTGCAGGGTATGGAGTCGGTGAGTTTGGCTGCAGGGATGTGAAGAGGAGGCAGGAGGAAGGGTCGGCCAGGGTGCAGTTCTAATGTGCCGAGGACAGTAAAACCTCATGGTGTGCAGGAGTCCCAGGGCAGCTCGAGCACGTCCTGGCAGATGGTGTTTAGGAACTGGGAAACAGATGAAAAGCTTTTTCCTTGGCAGTACCAAAACTCCATTGTTTTCTCCCACTAACCTGTTGCCCTGGATCTCTTGTATCAGGGCATAAACTGGCATTCAGCCTAAGTGACTTGACTGTGCAAAATCCCTGCACACTGAAGAGTGCTGCAGTGATTATGAGCCATTTTATTCCCTGGTACGTCTCTGCACATTGCTGCCGTTCTGCTGCCAGGATGTCCCTTTGTGCATTGGTGGGAGTGTGTGGCAGGGAGGAGAGGACATGGGCACAGGCACTAATGTTCCTGCCCTTTGCATTTCAAGCAGGTGACCCTGGGAAGAGTTGTCCTGCCGTAGCTCTGCCACACAGGCGATGTCTGTCCCAGAGAAGCTGCGAGCATTTTTTGCTCCCCTGGTCTGTACATTTGCCTGGCTGCATCCTGGCAATATGAAAAGCCAGCACAGGTTTTGCCATATCCTCGTTCTCCTGGAGGGAAGAGGTTTTTTATACAGGAGGGAGGCCACCCTTAGCCATGCCATGGGCCACAGCTGGAGGTGGGGATGGCCAGAGGTGCCCATCAGCCTGCCCTGCAGCCCCCTGCAATGGGCAAGCCACAAGGAAGAGAGGACACGGGCAGGAGTTAAGTGGGTGCAAGGGAGCATATCCACCCCGGCTGGGAATCCCCGATGAGTTGGTGTGGCTGTGCCCTGGGAGGCCCAGCCCTGGGGGGGACCGTGGCGGGGGCTGGCTCCCAGGACGGTGCGGTGCACCAGTGAGGGTGGGAGCAGTGGCTGGCCGGGGCAACTGAGGCCGAGCAGCCCCAGCCGGTGATGCCAGTCCACCTGAGCAAGGCGCCGGGTGCAGGAGAGCATGAGGGAGGGCAAAGTCCATTGGTGCTGGCTCACCAGCCCAGGAGAGGGCTGGGCACCGCAGGCACGTGGGACCTGGCACCAACTCCACAACGGGCGCAACCGCCTCCTCCATGTAATGTGGGCGAGAGGCACCAGGAGCCGAGTGTATGGGTGTTCTTCCCTCATGCCCAGGCCCAGCGAGGGAGCGTGGCTGCTCCCTCTCCCATGGGCTCCCACAGTCCTTCCTCCCCAGCCCTCAGGGTCCCATTCCCCATCCTCGCTCCATGACTCATGCCCTGTCCTTGTCTGGACGCCGTGCTCACCTCCCTGACACTCACACGTGCACACACTGTCTACCTCATCACAATGTCTGTGTCTGGGCACTGGGGTGCCATGGGTTCACATCCAGGCAGCCGGCAGGTTTCTGCCTTCCCAGGAGGATGGGAAGCGAGGGGGTGGGAGAGTCAGACCCACCAGTGCCCCACCGCCTTCCAGGTCCTGCACACCCCCATCCCTGCCCCCCTGCAATGCCAGCTTCCAGGACTCCCAGAGCAGAGGGCTTGGATCCAGCCAAAGACAGGACGTGGGGCTGCATCCTTGGGCTGGACTCTGCAACTCCCACCTGCAACAGAGATGCTGCTGGTCTGGCTCTCGCACGCAGCCAGAGCCTGGCTCTGAGGAAGAACAGCCAGGTCTAGCCAGCATCTCTCCTGCATGTGCTGAGACCCCACAAGGGGACGGAAGTGTGGGGACAGTGCAGCAGCTGCCACCACCCGGAGAGGGGCTGGTGGGGTTGGTTCAGTGGTGGTCAGCTTTGGAAGTCCATGCTGTGGCCCCCAGGAGAGCTCTGGGTTTGGCTCCTAAGCCCCCTCCCTGGTCCTGGCAGCTGGCATTGCCCTTGTCCTTGGTCTGCCTGTTGGGCAGGGTGCTGCGGCCATTGGTGGGGTCCTGTGTTTAACCACCTCTCCTTCCAGACATCCGGGACAGCGGGGCCAAGCCGGTGATGGTGTATATCCATGGTGGCTCGTACATGGAAGGCACAGGGAACATGATAGACGGCAGCGTCCTGGCCAGCTACGGGAATGTGATTGTCATCACCCTGAACTACCGCGTTGGAGTGCTCGGTATGGGCTGGCTGGTGCGGGCTGTGCCACCAGCACAGCTGGGCAGTGGGATGAGCCCCCACGGCTGATGGGGCTTGAACCAGCTGGGAAAGGGTGGTGGTGGGCATGGGGCCCAGAGGGATGGGGGCTGCACTGCTGGTGCTGCCCCTGCCCTTGCCCTGGCCGCTGAGCGGGGTGCCACGTGGCAGTGCCCCAGTGGGTGGTCGCAGCGAGGTCTGGCTCCTGGCACCGGCCCCCTCCAAGCTCATTTACACAACCTGGCTCAGCTGAAATCAAATGTTGGTCTGCGGTTAAATAAATAATAAATGTGTTTACCCAGCATCTCCTCCTGAGAAGGCTCAGAGCAGTGAGCTCCAGCAGGTTCTGCCTGGCTGCCTCTCCCTCCCTGGGCATGGGCTGCCTCCAAGCCGTTTGAGCTGCTGGGACCCCCATAGCTGCCCAGTGCAGCCTGGCTGCCTGCAGAGGGGGTCACCAAAGGCTGTCAGGTGCCGTATAGAGGAAAGCAGCAGTCCCATTTTCACAAGCCCTGGTGACCTAGAGAAGCGAAATGGAGACACAGGGTCAAAAGGCAGTGTGGTCCCCTACCTGCTGCAGCAGAAACCACCAGTGGCTGGGACACAGGAGATTTGCCTGGAGCATCACTTCTGCCTCCCTTTGCAGCAGGGAGAACAAGGAGTGTAGATGTCTGGGGAGAGCTCTTTTCCAGCCAAGCTGCTGGCAGGGCCAGCTATTTTCCTAGCCATCCAGCCTGGCGTGGCCTGGGCAGCTGGGCTCCCAGCTGGTACCTGGGGCAGGACATCCCTCTGACAGCCTCTGGACCCCATAGTATCTTGGGGATGATGGCAGTTATGTGGTAGAAAATAGGCTTTTCAGTAAAAACAAGCCTATTTGGAACCTTTCAATATTAAAATCCAGGCCTTTAAGAGGGATAGGTGCAAATTTAAGATACATAAGTCACAATATGAAGTAAGACTTAAATAGTGCCATCATGATCTCCATTGAAATGCTGCAGCATGCCTGGCCAGAGCACCTCCAGTTGCCAGAGCAGCACCGGCATGCTCCCTGCCTGCTGAGGTTACCACCCTGGATTTTACTTCAGGACCATGGTTTTGGCTTCCTGCTTTGCAGACAAAACACTGATAGCTTATCTTGGGTGTTCCCTTTGCTATTGAAAGCATTTCTCAGCATCTTCCTCACTGAGAGCCTTCATATTTTAAGCTGCAGTCGGTTCCTCTCTGCCCAGCCCACCTCCTTACATTTATAGAGCCTCCTGTGAGCCACACTTGTCCATGGAAAGCATTTGCTGTGCACTCACTCAGCTTGCCTGCAGCCACCGGTGCTTTCTTGGCTGTCCTTGGAGCATGTGTGAGATGTCTTGACTCGTTATTAGCCCAGTTGATGGTATGGGTAGGACAGAGCTTCGTGTCCATCACCCTGTCACTGCTTGCAGTTGGCTGGAGAGGGTCCCTGGGGCTTGCAGCTGCACTCACAGCCTTTCACCCCTCTGTGCTGTGCAGAGGGGGGAAAGAGTTCGGTGGTGTCCCTGCTCCAGCTTACAGTTCACAGGACTCTCTTGGTAGTGGGGTCTCATGTTGTGGTGGGACAGGGTCTCATAGAAGCTCCCCTAGGCCTGAGGAAGCGGAGTCGGAGGTCAGGACACCCCCTGCTTCCTCATCCCTAACTGGGCTCCCCTTGGCCTGCAGGGTTCCTGAGCACGGGCGACCAGGCTGCCAAGGGCAATTACGGGCTGCTGGACCAGATACAGGCGCTGCGCTGGGTCAGCGAGAACATCGCCTTCTTTGGGGGAGATCCCTTGCGGATCACCGTCTTCGGCTCCGGCATTGGTGCCTCCTGCGTCAGCCTGCTCACCCTCTCCCACCACTCTGAAGGTAGGTGCCAGCTGTGCCTGAGGATGCTGCAGCTGTGAACAAGTGCCTTGCTGATGCTAACCCTGGGAAGGGAGCCTGCCTGGGTACTGCCAGCCACCCTAGCAAAGTAAGGGCTGCTTTTTAATTAGTCACTGATGAGAGCCTGACCCAGGGCTGGGAAGAAAAACCTTCTCATTGTGGGCAGGGAGAGACCAGCAGCAAAGCACGTGGGTGCCAGGGATGGAGCTGGTGCTCCCAGCATTCAGGGCTGCAGCCCGGGGCCAGCACCTGGGCATAGGGAGAGGTGGGGACCCCTCCTGTGGCACCCTGCCCAGGCACCCGGGCTCGCCCACGTGCAGGTGTGGAGGGGCTGTAGGGCATCATGCAGGACATGGGGAGCACAGATCTCAGTGCTAGGAAAGGCATTCTTCGTACTGGACTAGAGGGGAAGCCAGACCTGAGCCTGGGGAGGGATGGAGGGCCCCATCTTGTGAGACTGTGAGAGCTGGAAGTGCTGCAACAAGCAAAACATGGGTGGAAATTATATGATTGATAACTGTAAATATAGCAGAGTGTTTTCTCTAGATAAAGAAAGGAATTATTTACACTAAAAGATTGCATTGGTATAAGAGCAAATGCATGTGAACCACCTGCAAAGACCTATTGAGCATTGGGGAAAAATAACCATGGGAGTAGAGGTGTTCTCGATAAACTTCCTAAAGGAAATCGCAGGAGCAAAGCCTGAACTGGATGTGGTTTACAGGGGATGAACCTGCCAGGGACTTGGTCCCAGGGGTTTTATATGAGGGTGCAGCTCTCTTCCAGTGCTGTGTCACCAAGCGTGGTGAAGGGGAGAAAGGGACACGTGAGCAGTGGACATGGGTATGAGTCTGCACCTCAGAGACACGCACAAAACTGCACTTGAAGCCATTGTGAAGAGCTGCAGCCCTGCTCAGCAGCCTGGGAACTGCACAGGAATGAAGGAGACCTTTCAGAACTTCAGCAGAGCTTATGGTATAGCAGAGGGTGTATAGGAGGAGGCTGGCACTGTCCAGAGCAGCCTTCCCCCAGCCCTGGGAGCTGTCGATGGAGTGATTGCCTCAATATTGAAAGCAGGAATGATCTCAGCCCCGGCTGCTGCAAAGGTTGCTGCAACAGCACCAGCATCATGGTCTGCTTGGTAGTATTCAATGTGGAGGTTTGCAGGTGCTGCAGGCCAGCACAAGGCAGGCGTTAGCTGTGGTGAGAGCTGGCAGAACCTGTGCTCATGGTGGGGAGTGGGGCAGCACCACGCTGAGCCCAGACCTGGCACAGGGCTTGATGCTGGCAGTTCACCATGGAGTCAAAGGCAAGCCCGAAGCTACTCTCTTCTCCCAGATTTCTCCAGCTGCCCTTTTGGTTAAACCTGCCTGATTCCAGAAAACCACTTGCCCTGTGGTGAGCACGCATCCACGCAGAGACCCATTGCCATGCTGGGCTCTGTTTCCCACTGGTGGCCCTTCCCCAGGGACAAGAGTGGGGCTGACAGGCTGCCCGCAGCTCTGCACCCATCCCTGCTGCCCACCAGGGTTCCCAGCAGTCGCAGCTGGCTGCCAGCCTCTCCTTAGATGGCCCAGAAAACTGAGGCAGAGAGGCTGAGACATGCTGCCATGGCCCACGGGATCAGAGTATGCAGAGGAGCTCCAGAGTGTCCTGGGTGGTAGGATATCCCAAGCTGGCTCTGGAGCCCACCAGTACTCCATGGTGCCTCTGTGCCAGAGCCCATGGCACCGCCAGCACCAACCCCCCCTGTGCAGAGTGCTCCTGCTCTCGGGGTGGCTGCTCCCACTGCTGGGCTCCCCATAGTGCCCCAAGGACCAGAGCTCAGGGGATGCTCTGCCCCACAGACCCAACAGCAGAGGCATGTCTGGAGCTGGTGGGCAGCTGTTTCCCAAAAGCTGTCAGCTTGGGCGCTCCCACATTAAGTCCATGGTGGTCCCTGGCTTTCCATGACTGCCCTGCAGCTTGCTGGCTCTGCTGTCATCGTCACTGGTGCCCTGCCATGTTTGAATAAAGCAGGGAGAAACAAAGAGGCAGGTAAAGCTGAAGTGATCCAGCCCTGGCAGCATGTATGGAGCTGCTGTTGCCCACTCAGGGCATGTCTGTTCTGGACGAGTCCCTTTCCCTGCCATCCCAGGGTACTCAGGACACTTGTGCTCAGTCTGTGCCTGGTGCCTGGAGTCAGCCCCTCTGTCGTCCTGCTACCCTATGCCACCTCCTGAGTAGGATGTTCCTGGGGCTATTGCTCCATCCTTTTCAGGTGTCTTGGACAAATATTCATGGGTATTAGACTAGACTATGCTCAAGAACATGGAAAATGTGAGTTATACCTACAGAGCTACTGCCAATGTTGCAATGCCAGAGCAGGGCAGGACTAGGGCTGCCCTCACCACTTTTAGGGCTCTTGGGATAGGATTCCCAGCTATCCCAAAGGCGTGCAGGGCAGGCAGCAGCTCTCTAGCCCAAAGGAGGAGATGCTTTTGACAGTTAAAGCCAGAGGATGCTTCGTTTGTGTTAGATGATAAATTGAGCAGTGTGTAGGAAAGGAGCATTTGCAGACTCGGCAGGGCCTGGGCTGCTCTGTGGCTGCGGGGGCCAGCGTGGTGCCGTGCCATCCCTGTGTGGATACCTGGGGCTCTGTACGCCTCCTGCCCTTGTGCAGGCACCCTGGGCAGCACGGGCACAGGAGTGGGGAGTCTTTTACAGGCTAAATGCTCCTGTAGAAAGAAAAAAGGTTTTCTCTGCCCATACTGAATGTGAAATGTGGGGGAGGTGTTCCCATTGGGTGCACCCATTACTCTGGGTGTAATCCATTTGTGATACTTCTTGAGGTGCTCCTCTCCATCACAGGAGTGCCTGGGAGGCAGGTGGGGATTGCGGGGAGGTGCCCTTGGTCCAGGATTCTCCTCTCTGGGACTGGGTGCTTCTAGCAGGGCAGCCCCAAGGCTGCAGACTGGTTTTCATGGCCAAATGGTGACACCTCCTTGGAAGCAGGACTGTGTGCTTGGCTGCTCAGGTGTCCCCTACTGCTTGTACAGGCCTGGGATGGAGGGAGCAGTATGGAGAGAGGCTGGGGGTGGATTGGAGAGGCTGCTTCCTGACTTTCCGGCCCTGAAAAATACTGTTGTGCCAGTATAGCACTTTTCAGGTGACACTAGGCTTTCTGCCACTAAAACCTGCACCTACGTGCCATGTCCTTTGCTGCCCATCCAGCCCCAATGCCTGTGGTGTGGTCCCCCGTGCATTGCAGCGGTGCTGGGTGCCTGGCACCCTCACTGCTGAGGCAAGGGAGCTGCTGCTGGCCATAAATGCCATGAGGCAGGAGGGGAGCACTCAGTGCTGCAGCCAGTGTTGCATCAAAGCAAATGGCCATAAAATGACCTCAAAAAAACCCCTGTGCTGGAGCACACATCTCCCCAGGGATGGGGTAGCCAGCTCTGGGGCACAGTGGGGGAGCTGAGCTAAGATGCAGCCTGCAGACCAGGCGGTTTTGTTTTTATTGTATCAAAATAATACTTATAGTGATCAAGAGCTATTAATGAAGCTGCTAATTTGTGCCTGCTCTGCCAAGCTCTGCAAGAGGCAGTCACTGGAGGCTGGTGCAGTGCACGCTGTGTCTGGCTGCTGGGGAGACCCACAGCTCCCCTGCCAGCCTTAGCCCTTGTAGGCAGGCAGACTCCTCGCCAAGGACCAAAGCGCTGCTTCTCTCCCCAGCTGGGGCAGGAGCAGTTGCTGCCGGGCAAACCTCTTGTGCTTCCTTTGCCCCATCTCTGGCTCCACGGGGGCTGCTGCCCTTTCGCTGCCAGCTCCAGGGATGCTCAGACCTCAGCTGGACAAGGCACCCAGCACCCTGCTTTGAGCAGGGCTTGGCCCAGACAACCCCAGAGGTGTTTCCAGTCTCAGCTACTGTGCAAAGCAAAGTGGAAATCATGAGCTAGGGACAGCCTGCAGCAGCAGGCACCCTCCAGCAGAGGCCTGGTCTCACCGCTTGGCTCTGCTGTGCCGTGTCAGCCAGCTCCGCAGGACGTGGAGTGCCTTGGGAACCTCACCTCAGGGGCGAGCAGCCAGGCAAGGCAGAGCTGCATCTTCCTGCCTGGGCCCCAGCAGGTGATACCTCCCTGGGGTGCTTTCTGGGCTTCAGCTGGATGCTGGCCTGGAGGGGGAGAACATGGCAGGTCTGGTCCTAGGTCCTCTTGTGTCAGGACATGGCCATGCAGAGACACAGTGAAGGGGCTCCATCAGGGACATGGCCCACTGTTGGTGACACCAGCTGCCTGTGCTTCCCCAGGCAGGGGCAGGCAGGGACAGAGCCCAGCCTGGGTCTGTCTGGGAAGTGATGCTACTGGCAGGGAGCAATGGCTGCTGCTGGGATGGCATCTCCTGGGAGCCAGGGAACCCCCATCCTGGCTCTTTGGAATGTGGATGATGGTGCAGAGCAAGCAAACCCATGGCCAGTCTCCAGCCTGTAGGCTGGATACGGCTTTCTAGGGCACCAGGAGGTGTCAAACAGAGCTTGTGACTTCTCTTTGTCCTAGTGCATGGGACTGTACGTCAGGTACTTGGCAGAGCGAGGACTGTGCGTGCAGACAAGAGCTGTGGACATGGTGGCCGGGAGCCAGGAACCTCCAAACACTTCTACTGCAGGAAGGTGCATGCTCCCCTGCAGAGTGGCACGGCCTTGGCTGCACAGGGGGTCTCACACAGGCGCTCCATGTTTCAGGGGGTCTGGGGCAGCCCTGTGACCACCACGCTTCTGCACCAGCACTGTTTGGGGACTGCCTGAGACAGTCTCTCGCGGCAAGCAAGTGCCAGAGTCTGGTGAGGGTGCAGGCAGCACTCCGGGTGCAGGAGAGGGCTGGCCAGAGAGCAGGGACCCCAGGGTGCACCCCAAGCCTGGCTGCCTTTCACCACCGCGGAGGCTCCGCTTCCTCACCACCCTTTGTATTCTGAGCACAAGCGCCATTGACATGGGGCTGGAGCGCAGCCACGCATTCCTCTGCCTGGGCCAGAGCCTTTGTGGCCCCGTTTTCCAGGGCGAAAGTCCACTCCCTCTGTGTTCCCGGTGGCAGAAAGGCCCTCTTTGTGCATCTGGCAGCGTGCTCCTGCGGCCGGATTGGCACTGAGCAGCCCCAGCTGGGCAGGAAGTGGCTGGGAGGGGGGGATGAGGGGGACCCTGACAAAGCGGTGGGGTGGGACATCCAGGGTTAAGTGGCCCCGAGAAGGCGTTAACCCTCCCACTGCTGCCAGCCTGCCCTGGCTGCTCAGTGAAGCTGATGCCACCCTGTGCTGGAGGATCACGCTGAGCTGGGGGCAGCTGGGACAGTGTGGGCTGCTCAGAAAGGACAGGCTGTGATGCAACCATGGCTCCTCTGCTCCCCGCACCGGGACAGAGGGATGCTGGGCTATTCCCTGCAATGGGATCCTTGAGGAGCACAGCAACCCCTGGCTGCTGCCAGGAGCACCCACTGCATTCCCAGCTGGTCACCCTGCCACCTTCATGGTGACCCTGAGCTGAGCCCCCTATGCGAGCCCGGCTTAACGAGCAGCACAGCCCAGGTCAAGGCCAAGTGCGGGCTGGAGGGCTGGATCCTTGCAGGAGTCCAAGGGCATCAATGCCTTCATCATGCTGCATCCTGCACTGCAGCACTGGGGTGTTGGAATGGCACTCACCCTGCTGCGAGCTTCCTCTGTTCCTTGCCTGTCTTGCAGGTCTCTTCCAGAGAGCTATCATCCAGAGTGGCTCCGCACTTTCCAGCTGGGCGGTGAACTACCAGCCTGTGAAGTACACCAGCATGCTGGCTGACAAGGTGGGCTGCAATGTGCTGGACACAGTGGACATGGTGGACTGTCTGCGGCAGAAGAGTGCCAAGGAGCTGGTGGAGCAAGACATCCAGCCAGCTCGCTACCATGTGGCCTTTGGGCCGGTCATTGATGGGGATGTGATCCCAGATGACCCGGAGATCCTGATGGAGCAGGGCGAGTTCCTCAACTACGATATCATGCTGGGGGTCAACCAGGGCGAGGGGCTAAAGTTTGTGGAGGGTGTGGTGGACCCTGAGGATGGCGTTTCAGGCAGTGACTTTGACTACTCAGTTTCCAATTTCGTAGACAACCTGTACGGCTACCCTGAGGGCAAGGACACCTTGCGGGAGACCATCAAGTTCATGTACACGGACTGGGCTGACAGGGACAACCCCGAGACACGTCGCAAGACTCTGGTGGCCCTCTTCACTGACCACCAGTGGGTGGAGCCATCGGTG